TTCCTGTCTAACATACAACCTGCATAATCTGCATCTGAATATGCTGTCAGTTCAAATCTAGTACCCTTGGGATACCAGAGTCCTAGATTAGCAGTCCCTTTGAGATAACGAAAAATGCGTTTAACAGCACTTAAATGGGACTCCTTGGGATTAGACTGATATCTGGCACAAAGATGTGTTGAAAACATTATATCTGGTCTACAAGAGGTCAAATACATTAAAGAACCTATCATGCCTCTATAAAGCTAAACTAATTACAATAAAGCTAAGTAAATGGAGAAATTTGAATACAACATTTTAGCACTAATCTTGAACCCAACACAAACACAAACTGAAAACAGAAGCTAATCAATTTTAACTTTAAAATGATCATAGCGACCTCAACCACTAATGGGAAAGGATAAAACGAAGCAAAAATACATGCATAAGAGCAAATTTCCAATAAAGAACAAATATATTTGTTGTTGGATGGGAATTTTGATTTTACATCTATTTATAAGGATGATTATGGTTTTTCTTTTTCCTATAACAATGCTTTTCAAATAAAAATAATTAAGAAAAACTTTTATGCAAAAAATAAATAATACATCAAATCTCATCGGCAAAAATAAAAATCTATGTTAGGACATAGAAACAACGAGAATGCTATCGTTCATGTACTAAAATTTTTGTTATCCTCCGTTGGTACGTTTTTTCTCTTCTTGTTCCAAAATGATAAGAGCTTAGCTTAAGACAATCAGGTGATATCCAGCCAGCCCTTGTAACTTCTGTATTCTCTCTATGCGTACGTTGAATGGATCTTTGTCGTTTTTGTTGAAATATATTGTGAATTACCAATCTTGACTTTATGTCTATTTTGTCACGTTATTTGTAGATAAGGGTTGTAATTGACAAGGGGATTAAAGCTGAAGGGTTGATGGACTACGCCTCACTTCTGGTACCCATCACTTTTCCATTTTGAAAAGACTTTCATCAGGGCATGTTTTTTTTTGACCGGCGAAGAAAAGCGAAATATTATAAAAAGACTAGCAAGGCGCTAGCAAAGAGAGAGTACAGGCAAAAAACATGATATGGGGGAGTTACACCACTCTATCCAACTATTCAACAAAAAGCCTTTCTGAACCCTATTTTTAAAGCAGAAAAAAAAGAATACGCCTGAAGCTGGCCTGCGAGAAGAAAAGTCGAATTCATAGAGGAAGCTCGGAAAATTTTACGGTTGCGCAAGTTCCAGATAATCCAAAAGAACCTGTACACCACTCCGAGAAACGCCTTTTTAGACATGGAATTCCCAGCCACCTCCGAGCTACGGTCCAGAAGATTGTTAATCGAGTTCACCTGTCCTATATCCACTTTCCACCAAGTGCACAGGTCCTTGAGCAGCTTCCGTGATATCGAGCATCCTATGAACAAGTGTTCCTCATCTTCTTCGATACAATCACACAAAGGGCACAAAGAGGAGAGGCAAACTACACCTCTTTTTAAGAGATCATTTTTAGTCGGAAGCCGTTTGTGAAGCAGACGCCAAGCTAAAATGTTGATTTTTGCAGGAACCCAATTGACCCACCAAGAGGTTCGGAAGCTGACCTGAACTAACGAACGGTCATCGTAAGCGGCTCCCGTCGAGGAGACCGAGAAGGTGCCGTGAGGATCCAGACCCCATCGCCATGAAAAGTCGATCCCGTTTAGCCTTTGTTCCCTCAGGAACCAGTCTGCAAAAGGAAGGTTGAGTTTATGGAATTCCTTGTGGAATTTTATGATGTTCCTCCATAATCCCTGGAAACTGCCACATCTGGCCAGGTTATTCAGACCCCCATCCTCTCCGTGTAGAGCAGTTATAACCCGTCGCCAAATGTGATTATGCTTAGTTTTAAATCGCCACCACCATCATGCAAGAAGCGCTAGGTTGAGAGCTTTTAGACTACCAATCCCCAGACCGCCATCATCTTTATCCGCCATCGTGGTACTCCAACGGATCCATGATATCTTTCTCACACCTCCTTTATCACCCTAGAAGAACCTCGAGCGAATTGATTCAAGTTTGTTGATGATCGAAATAGGTGCCTTGAGGAGCGAGAGGAAATGCAGTCACAGGCTTCCTAAAACAGATTTGACCAGGACAAGACGACCACCATGAGAAAGGATTTTGGATTTCCAGGCTGATAATTTTTTGTTAAATTTTTCAACCAGAGGCGCCCAAGATTCAGCTTTATTGGAGCGACCCCCGATCGGCAAACTGAGGTATGTAAAGGGCAAAGTTGCAATCTACTAGCAACTAAAACTACTTCATCATAGTCAGCCCCCACACCCATTATATTACTTTTCTGCATGTTCACCTTCAGACCCGAAGACAGTTGGAAGCAACGCAACAACCGAACCAAATTAGTAGCATTCAATCTCGACCATTCACCCATGATCAAGACATCATCGGCAAATTGCAGTATCGATAATTCAGGCCCGGAGTTAGGAAGCTTGATACCTCTGAAGATACCATTCCGAGTGGCTTCCGACATGATGATATTGAGAGTTTCTGCAGCAAGTATGAAAAGGAGAGGGGGCAGGGGATCTCCTTGCCTTACCCCCCTTCTTAGAGGGAATTCTTGAGTCGGGGATCCATTGATGAGAACCACGACCGACGCCGAACTGACGCACCCTTTGATCCACGCCCTCCATTTCGCCCCAAACTGCATTCCCCTTTAAACATCCTCCAGAAAATCCCAAGACAAGGTATCAAAGGCTTTTTCGAAGTCAATTTTAAAAATCAAGGATTTGTGATTATATTTTTTTGCCCAAGATATTATCTCGCTGACGATAATGGGTCCATCTAGAATACTCCTTCCCTTGATAAAGGCCGATTGTTCGTTCCCGACAACCGAATCAATGACCATGCTTAATCGAGATGCCAAGATCTTAGCAATAATCTTATAAAAACAATTTATCAAGCTGATGGGCCGGTACTCCGAAAAGGAGCATGGAGATTCCGATTTGGGTATAAGCATGATGAAAGAGGCGTTACATCCGTCGTCTATGGAGGCAGTGGACTCAAAATATTTGACGGCCCGAAATAGGTCTTCCTTGATGACATCCCACTGTGATTGAATGAACGCAAAAGAGAATCCATCAGGCCCAGGAGCCTTGTCTGTTCCACATTCCCAAATGGCTTTCTTGACTTCCTCCAGGGAAATGTTTGATTCAAGAGAGCTCGCCTGTTCCGAAGAAAGATGTTTAAAATTATTGCACAAGAAAGGGGGTCGAATGACAGACCTGGATCGAAATCTCTCTGAGAAGAAATTGAAGGCCTCTTGTTTGACTTCCGAAGGATCCGTGACCCAGACCCCATTGGAGGATATGCCATGGATGAAATTACTCCTTCTGTTAGCATTGACGATCCCGTGAAAGAAACTCGAGTTTTCCTCCCCGTCCACTACCCATCTAAGACGCGCTTTCTGCTTGAGTTCCTTCACTTTATCCTCTTCCATAGCTTTAATTTTCATCAAAATGTCCTTTCTTGAAGAGATCTCTTCCATCGAGAGAGTGGTGTTTTCCGCCTTGATATTTAAAGAATCCAACGACCTTTTCAAGGAGTTCTCCTGTTCCGTCTTATCTTTGTTCACTCCTATCTTCCAAGATTTAATACGTAGCTTCATATTCTTAAGCTTACTCATAAAGTATTTGATAGGCGGGCAGTAGATGGGTGAAGGGGAGGAGTTCCATGAGTCACAGACCAGTAGATTGAAATCAGGTTGACCAAGCCACGAATTGAAAAACTTAAAGTAAGTAGGATCAAAATCCACCTTGTCGGATCTGAAGAGAATAGGGCAATGGTCCGAGAGATAGCGAAGAAGAATCTCAGCACTCGGCATGGGCCACTGAGATAGGAAATTGGAAGAGACAAGATACCTTTCTAGTTTACTGTGTTTCATCCCGTCAGCGCTCATCCTAGTAAATTTCCTTCCACCGCTCCTAACTTCAATAAGCCCCGAGTCTCGGATAAAATCGTTGAATCTGTTAGCACCCAGAAACGAGAACAAAGATCATTTTCTTTCATTGGTGTAGCGAACTTCGTTAAAATCGCCCATGATAACCCACACCGTATCCGATTTATCGATCATAATTTGCTCAATGGCCGACAAAAGTCTGAGTTTGGAGACCGAAGATTGCGGCGCGTAAATGTGGATGAATCCGCAAGGGGTACTAATCGACACCCATCTTCCCCAGACTGCGACAAAACCATCAAGGATAGCGAAATCATCCTTAATGAAAAAAGACGTATCCCAGATGGATAAAATACCCCCAGACATCCCTCTAGCTTTCGACGAAATAAAATCAAAAGAATCTTTACCCCAAACAGATTGGATGAATCGAAGATCTACCTCGTCCTTGAGATGCGATTTCTGAATGGCCAGGAAGATACCCCCCTAGAATTCAAAGAAAGAATAATCATTGATTAACATGAACATCCCCTGCAGAAGAAATTACCTTTCTAATTTCTGCTTCACAGCCGTTCATACAGAATCCGACCATATTACCGATTTCCATAGTATCCCTAACCTCCGACGCATAGACGGTTCCTCGCTGATTGAGTAGGCAGTCCGATCACGGGGGAATCCGGCGCGATCGACAGGGGAAGCTCTGAATAATCAGGTTCAACAAGAGGAGCCCTCTGATCTAAGTGAATTACTGAATCGAAAGCGGGAATAGTAGCCTTGGGTTTCCTTAAAAGAGCCTGTGAGAACACAGACGTTGGCTTCAGCGAAAAGAGGGGTCTAGAGGAGAACGGTCGCTTCCTAGGTGCGTTCTTGAGGATTTGATTAGGAAATGAGTGGCATCCCGAAAAGGAGTTTAGCTCATGGGAAGAATCTGTAGCGTCCTCGGGAAAGGAAGTAGCGTGACCCGGGTCTGATGCGAAGATCTCAGGATCTTGGCCCTTGTCGTCCAAGATTTGAGGTGGAACGTCATTCCCATCAGAATTAATAGACAAGGTGTTGGAGACACAATTGTCTTGAGAAATAGGAACCCCATTCATCTTACCATCTTCTCTTCATGACTCTTCTATATCCTCTTCTTCATCGGCAACTTGACTTCCCACGAAAGTTCCCGGCGACTTGAAACCGGAATGGTTATTAAGGAAAAAATTGTCATCTAGGAGTGGGTTCTCCGATCTATCTGAGAAATCCGTATCTGAAAAYGAATCCGCGATCGGTTTAAAGTGATCACAAAAGTCAGGGGCAATCTTGATCGATTCCGATAAGTCCTCTGAGATGCTGATGCGATATTCTCTGTTATCAAACACCACTGAGAAGGAATCGAGGATCCTATCTGGACRCTTCGTAATAATACCCACTCTCCCAAAAGCCAAGTTCAGGTTGTTATCATTACATTCCTCCGGTAGTATCACCTATCCCCAAGGTTTCACAATGCTGGAAAAGACGTCTGGCGACCAGGCGTGCGGGGGCACCACCGTGATAATGATGGAAGCAAAACGATCTGGAACGACAAATCCCTCAACCCAAGACTCGAGCGATTCGAACCAACAACTCCACAAGGCATGCGCATTGCTGAGAAAAGAGAAGGCAGCTTCCGACGAATCAAATTCCAGAAGCACATGCAGACCCCTTAGATACCTGATCTTAATACCGTCACATCCTCCGTCTTTCATAATGGTAGCGATACCCCAAAGAATCAAGGAGGATGCAACCTTACCCACCAAGGATCGACTCATCCGACGCTTAGACTCAGAAGAAGAACTGAACGATAGTCGGGGAGGAACAACGACTTTGGACGAGCCCCTAACTGCATCTGCGAAAGTTTTTGGCACGGAGACTTGTCGCTTATCCCCATGTAAAGGCTTGGCACTTCCGAAAATCCGAGGTGGGGCGTCCCTTACAAATCTTGCAATATTGGCATAAAGCTTTTGACCTCCAACCCACGTGTTATTGAGCTTACCTTCGAATCCTCTAGAGTCTGAAACTGCTAAGAACCTTGCGAATCCGAATCTGTTACCCTGATTGTTGCGTTTCTTAGCAATGTAAACATCAGCTGCTTTCCCAATCATAATAAAAATCTTCCATATGTCAGCCTCCTTGACATGATCTTGAAAGTTGGTGAAGTAAAAGTTGGTTGTCTTTCCTTTAAATAAGTCTCTCCTGATAACCTCAGATTGTTTGGAATCATTGAGCTGGTTCCTCCGCTGAAAATCTTGACGATAACTCTTCCTCCGGCGGTGACTAACCTGCTCCCATACTCCTTCTTCCACCATCCTCTCTCTATCAGAACCTAGAAACCGGGGTTCTGAATCAAAGAAAATATCACTCAACTGGCCCAAAAATCTCTCCCCCCAAAACGGAATACTCTTAGATCAACAAACTCTTCCTCTAGCACTAAAAAATTCTACCAAAGCCTCTCTAGATACTTTAACAAGAAAGTAAAGTCAACAGACAACACTCTGAGATAATCATACTACAATCTGGCAAAGAAGATACCAACCAAAAATTGGATTCTGGATTTGGCATTTAATCAAACACTTGGTGCTCAAGCTAAACCAACCATTTGGATCAAGTGTCACATAACTCACTTGCATAATTCCAAGAATATAAGGTGAAAAGATACTGCTCAAAAACATTAATAGAAATTGTTTTTAAATGCAAAGGCCGAAGACATAACAACTCACGAGCAAACCCTAAAACCCAAATCAATCGGTCTGTCGCCTCATCTTCTAAAGAATGAAGCAAAGAAGGAAAAGAATCTCTTGATTATAAGATACATGAACACAGAAACCCTAGATAAAGAATGTAATGAGAGAAGAGAGCTGATACACAAAACGAGCCAGCAGAGGAGGTGGATGAAGAACGTGAAGCGAGCAGCCCAGAATCCCTAAATCAAGCCGACAATGGCGGTGCGTCTCGACCTAGTACGGGAGTGGTCGGTTGTGGCCGGAGAAGTGGATGCAGGGTTGGGATTCGCCGGAGAAGGGGATGGAATTGGAGGTGGAATCGCCTAAAGTAGATGGTTTTATTTTCATCAGTGTATGTTTTTTATTTTTGGGTAAAGGGGACGGAACCCCGGCAAAATTTATTCAAAGAAGAAAGCAATACAAACTATGAGGGGCATACCCCAAGAGAAGTAAAAAATAAATGCCTGCCTAGAAAATGTTTAGGGAAAACACTAAGTAAAGGCCTAAGACTAGGAGCCAAATTGGCATTAAAAAGTCCACAAGCCCAAATGAACAAACTATCAAGAGAAACACCAGAGTAAGAAGCCCATCTCCAGAACTTTTGATCAACATGAACAGGCCCAATGGAGAGCCAATTATGAACCGGCGGTTACGAACCGGTTAGGGTATTTTAGGAATTCTTGGACCGGAACCGGTTACGCAACCGGTTATGGGCCCGGCCCGGCCCGGTCAACGAAAAAGTCAAACTAGCCGTTAGAAAGTCAAAGTTACCGGTTTTTCAGTCAAACTAGCCGTTAGTTACCGTTAGTTACCGTTATGACTGTTTTTTTTCATCTTCTTAGCTACCAAAACATGTATAAATAGAGATGGAAGTTCCTTAGTTAGTTACCAACTCTTCTCATCTTCAAAAACGCAAAAAACGCTATCAATTCTCGGTTTTTCGCTTCATTTTTTGAATTCGTTACATATTAATTTCTCGTTTCCACTTCACAATTCTCGTTTATTTCTCTCTTTTAC